GGGTGGGATGGGGTGGGATGGGATGGGATGGGGTGGGATGGGGTGGGATGGGGTGGGATGGGATGGGATGCATGGCTTCAGCCCCACACCCCGTCCTCTGCAGAACCAACTCCAGCCCACAGGTCTCCAGTCCAGCCTCTCCCCTGGTGCCAAGCAGTGCTGGGGGCACTGTTTTGTCTAAAACCCATCACCCCTGCAGGGCCTTCCCACCCGGAGCAGTGATGGGGCCGTGGTGCTCCATTCCGGCTCCGGAGCAGGGTTGCCATGGAAACTGATACTGTTGATTTTTTTCTGATCTCCAAACCCAGCCCGTGGCATCAGTGCTCCCATCCACAGTGCCTGGTGGGAGCTTCCTCCAACAGCAGCTGATGGGGGGCAGCTGCTCCCCCTGTTCCCACCACAACCTCCCCTTTGCCCACCCACCCAGGCCCTGGGTGCCAGCACAGCCACGCTGCTCCCGTGTGCTTCCAGCTTCCCAAGGCTTCCCAGCAATCCACACAGGTGGATTTCACATCCCACCTCTACTTCTTGCCTTCCAAGACACCCCCTTGGCAGACATCACCTCCAGGAGCCTGCAAAGCTGTTCCCTTCCCTGCTCCGTGTCCTCAACCCAACACCGGGTGCTCGGGCAGGAGGGGCAGCAGAGGAGACCAAACATCCATGAGCATCCCTCTGGAATGAGAGGCCCTGGAGACGAGACAGAGGCACTGGAGGGATGTCAGGGGAAGGGCAGACGTGCTGTGGAAGGAGGACAGGGTGGGTGTGGTGGTGGCTCTGGGCAGGCAGAGGCCAGGAGCCAGCACTGGGGCCTGGGAGAAGGGGACATGCACTGCAGAGAGGTGTCTTCAGGCAGAGCAGCCACTGCTTCCCTGCTTTCCTACATCCGGAGGCTGCGTTTTCATTATTCATCCCCCTTCAGGGGAACTATCTCATCCTAATAAAAGTGTCAGAAGGAATACACAGATACACACACACCCCAGATGAGGGGTTGCCACAGTGCATGGACAGACGTGGTGATTTGTGGCCTCCTGGGCTGCCACGGCCCTGCCCCCCGTGCCATGGCCGTGGTTCCTGCCCCAGGCCCGGGATGTGGCTGCAGGGAGGGCAGAGCAGATGGCCATGGTGGCCTTCAGCCTCGAGGCAGGATCCTGGTACCTGCTACCACAGCTCCCTGCATCTGAAGCTCCTGTTTGACCGCGGGCTCTGCTGCACCCCAGTGCCTTTTCTGGTCTTTTCTCCAGCATCTTTTTTTCCTGGCTCAAGCCTGGGTTGAGTCTCCCAAAGTGTCCATGCTGCAGCAAAGCTCTGCATGGAAGTGTCCCCATCAGCCATGGCAGATTCAGGATCACCAAAATTCACTTCAGCATTGGCTCACCAGGGTTGCCTGGAGAAGCTGAGGCTGCCCCTGGATCCCTGGAAGTGTCCAAGGCCAGGTTGGATGGGGCTTGGAGCAACCTGGGCTAGTGGGAGGTGTCCCTGCCCATGGCAGGGGTTTTGGAAGAAGATGAGCTTTAAGGTCCCTTCCAACCCAAAGCATTCCATGGTTCTAATTTTGCAATAGCTGCTGTTTAATCTCCTTAGGAAATTCATGACTCCTGCTTGTGAAAGCTCTTTCCTTTTCTCTTCCCTTTCCTGGGGAAATCCCCTCCTTCCCTGGGGTCAGTGGGCTGCTGCAGCTGCCCAGATGTGCAGGTGGGTGCTGTTTTTCCTCAGTTCATGCCTGTTCCTGCCCATCCCAGGGTTCTCTTGGCGTTTTGCTGCATCCCAAACCCACGTTAGGAGCGTGGCATTGGTGCTGCAGCTCCGTGGGAAGCACGAGAGCTCCGATTCCCCCGCGACTTCTGGGTGGCAGTTCTGATAAATCAACTGCTTTATCACCAACACAGGCACTCAGCATTAACTCTACACGTGCCCAGCTCTGGGTGGAGAGGTTATAATTCACCAGGAAAGGGACAGGGGGATCCTCAGCAAGTCCCTCTGAGGAGCTGCCACGTCCCCGCCCTGGCTCCTGCAGGTGCACACACGTGTGTCCAGCTGTGGGATGACACCAACATGGACACACGGGATAAACTCCGTGTGTTTGAGCACCTGCAGGCACGGGACAGACACATCACATGCCCTCCCACAGCCAGGGGGCATCCAAGGAGGTGAAGGGCCTTGAGGGAAAGCTGAGGGCACTGGTTCTGTTCAGCCTGTGCCAGGGCCTCCCCACCCTCACAGAGAAGAATTTCTTCCCAATATCCCATCTAACCCTGCCCTCTGGCAGTGGGAAGCCATTCCCCCCTGGCACTATCTGCTCATATAAAAAGTTCCTCCCCTCCTGTTTATAAGGCTCCTTAAGCTCCTGGAAGGCAGCAATGAGGCCTCCCCGAAGCCTTCTCTTCTCCAGGCTGAACAACCCCAGCTTTCCCAACACGTCAGAAAAAGAATTGTTCAGGGTAGGGATCTTGAGAGTTCAAAGTCTGGGTTTTCCAGTGGCTTTGGCTGCAAATCTGGTCCTCTCCATCAGGCAGGGATCACCCTTTCTCTGCTCCAATGGCGATGGAGACACCTGGACACTTGGGAAGGATCACAGTTCTCACCATCAGCTCTGGGGACCAGCAGATCCTTGCAAAAATGAGCTTTGGGAGTGCCAGCCCTGTGCCTAATGCAGATTGCTTGTACTTGAGTAGAGATCATGTCAAAATCCGAGGGGAAAAAGCCTTTGCCAAGCAAACCCTCCAGCACATCCGAGGTCCTTCCTGCTAAATCAATATTGGCAATGCCTGCTGCTCTCCACCTGGGATGGCAAGAGAGAAAATCGGGGGTTGATTTCCTTCTAATATTGCTTTGGATATCATCTGTTCCTCAGAACAAACATCTCATAATTCGGGGTTTCTGTGAGAACTTCAGTTCTGTCGCGAGCAAACCTCCTGCCAGGAAGCACAGATTTCCTCTGCCAGGCTCACACTTATTTCTTGAGTAATATTCCACCGCATTTCCAGGCCCTTCAGAAGTAGAAGGCTTTGTTTTATCCCTGCCTGGAACGAATTGCAATGTCTCTTTGCCAAAGAGTGCCCTTGTACCAAACTGTCCGTGCATTTGCCTGATTTCACTGTTTTTCCAGCCTGTTTTGCCGCTGACAAATGCTTGGTCTGAGCGCTGGTGCAACAGGATGGACTCTGGGCCAAAGCCTGGTCCCAGCTGATAGTTTTCTCCTGGAGTGTCTCTACTTCCAGCAGTGTAAACAGCATAAAGACCTGTGAGGGTGGCAGAGGGGATATAAGCTGGGATTTGATGGGCTGTTTACAATTCCTCAGCCTGTGAGTGACAGCACAGGGCCACACAGCCCTGGGAATAGACTTTGTGAGATCTTGCCTTGGCTACGAGAGGATTAATGGCAGGGGGAGATTTGCTTTGTCTTAGTGATTTTTGGACAACTTCAGTCAATCGTGGTAAGCCGGGATAATTGCTGTGTGTGGCTCTTCCCCAGGTCCCATTAACAGCAACTTTAGCAATTTTCATAAGCAAACAAGGTGAAGATGACCAGTTCTGCTCCTTCTGATGCAGCCACTGGAGCAACAGCAGATGTTGGGGGACATCACACTGCATCAACACCCTCCCTGCAGGCTGTCAGTGGCTGCTTCTCCCTCCAGACCATCACAGACACTCCAAAAACCTCTTTGCAGCAAGCCCATGCCCACTAAAATGCACGTGTACCTTTGCTGCCAGTGACTAGAGGGCTGGTAATAAACCACCTTCCTTTTTGGAAGGCTTTTTTTTTGTGCTGGCTTTTTGTTCAAAGCTTCCTGCTTGCAGGCTTTTAGGTCCAGAAAGGCAAGCAGAAATGATTAACACAAGTTTTAATAAATCCTGATGGGGTCTTTTAGACTGATAGATCACCAGGGGTTGTTTATTACCATGTCTTGTAGCTCATATAACATGTTTTATTACTGTGCTTACAGTTATGTATAAAATGTCTGCAACGAGCTTCACCATGGACTAAATCTTCAGGGACTTGCTGGGTGGTGAAAGTAGAAGTTTCACCCTTGATTTTTGGAAATATAAGGTTTATAATCCATCAGGCTCAGCGTGGACTCTCAGTGTGCCATTCCCATGGTGCTGCTCCACGTGCCCACACCAAGGGCTGCCATCACTCCATTTTCCAGGTGGGAAGAACAGTCCCACACCCACTGAGGTTTGTTTTTTTTTTACAGTGGACACCCTGTTTTGTATTGGCTGTGTGTGGTCACTCCCAAAGGCAGGGAGCACCTTCCTGGGGGTGCTGGGGCAGCTCGGGGAGCTGGTTTTGCAGCGAGGTGAGAGGCAGTTGTTCCTTTTTTAGTGTGACTAATGTCAGCACTTGGCAAAAATAGCAGCAGCGCCATCCTGGCTCCCCAGCCCGACGTCTGGAGCTGCTGCTCGCGTTGTGCTCACAGAGCAGAGAGAGGGAATTGTACGGCGGGGCTGAGACATGAATTCAACTTCTATTTTTTATGCCGTGGCTCCAGCGAGAGACTGCAGCTAAAACAGCCACCGAGGCAATTAATTACCGGTGTCTGTCACCCGGTGCAGGACCAGAAGGAGAGACAAAACAAGGCAGAATGTGCCGCATTCCCCACTGATGGGGGAAAGGACTGATGTGTGCTGGGGCTGACACGCTCCGGCATCACAGAGCCTTTGTTCACACGGGCTTGAGAGGCAGCCAGGCTGGGCTAGGCAGGCAGAAGGAAAGGGAAGGAGCTCATAAAGGCTCTGCAGGCTGCTCATCTCCCAGGATCCCTGGGGTGCTCCCCAGCGCTCCGGGAACGGGAGCACCCACACGATGGTGGGGCTCTGCAGTGCCCCCCGTCCCAGGTCACAGCATCACACGGAGCAGGGATCAGGGGGCTGCAACCTCTGGGTGGTTCTGGTGGCAGGATTTGGAGAACAGGCCATCAAAAGCTGTAAAACACAGAGTCAGAGCCTCCAGGTGTGACAGAGAAGATGGTTCTGAATTTTGTACATGTTTCATTAACTTTGCAGGCCCTTCCATTAGAGCACTGAGCAAGCCTGCAAGAGTGTGTATAAATGTTGCATATTTTTCTGACTGTAAACTCAGTTTCTGGCTTGCCAGCATGGTGAGCCACCCATTTCCTTCAGGAGCAGTGCACAGCTCACTGGGCAGGCTGGGTCACTTCCAGGGTGCCTTTGGATTCAGCAGGAGTTAAACCAGGCCATGTGTTTAAGAAAAAATAAGCAGCACAGAAGTACTAAAAA